TACAGTATGATCCTTGGATTTTCCTTTACGATTACTACAAAATAACCCTTTTATCCAGTACGATTAGTATTATCATGTATGCACAGTTAAAGAATTTTCTTAGATCATCCAGTATAATTTTTAGATTGTTTAGGATAATTAGTTTAACTAAAATGTAGTTCATCCAGGATGAACCCTAGGACAACAAAAATTATACATGGGTAATCGTACTGTACAAAGGTAAATATATAATACGATTAGAATATCAAACCTAAGTAGAATTTATTAACTAATCACAGAATCATTTTAGGAAGGATTTTTCAAAGATCATCGAATGCGATGTACATCATCTAGGATGATTAAAACAAAAAATGAAATTCAAAATTATGCCTAAATTATAATTGGAGGTTATTTTTCATGATAATAAAGGATTGTCCTAGACGATCTAAATCATCAGTATGATTAATTTGATGAGCTAATCATATAGTATGATTAGTTCAAAAATTGAGCTTCTAGTTTTGACTCAATCTCAGTCTCCCAAAGTGTCTGTGTGCATGATCACCAAACAATCATACACCTTTATAAGACTTGACTCAGGAAATCATAAATACATCAATGAATATTACAAACATCTTTACAGCATAATATATTCTACATAATCTTAATCTTTTAATCTTTATTGGATGGTGCATGGCATTCCTGAAATGTTAGTACACACACAAATAAAAAATATATTACAAAAACAAATAAACAAAAATGTTAGCCATAATATTTGTTATCATAAAAAATATAAACTTGTTAGCTCGACTTATAACAATCTCGGATAGCAAGATCAACAAGATATTCAAAGCAAGTAATAGTTTCCAAGGGAGATGGGAAGGACATCCAGCACTAAGCGGGAGAAATAAAATTTAATAGGAGACACCACCTTATGGAAATTTAGGACACCTCTAAGTCAGTTAGTTGATCGAGAAAGCTCTGCCCAGTAGTGCTTTACTCTAGAATATACATGGCGGTCCCCGGTAGCCTAAGATCCTCTCTGACTTTTCATAAAGCGATCAATGATAGATGCATTTGCCATAGTTATAGCATTACGGCAAACCTGTGCCAAATATATAGCGGATTTGGGCGCTCTAGCCAAAATGAATCAAAACATCAACCCTTCTTTATTCTTTACCAACTTTCTTAGAAAACGATATCATCAAACGAAAGAATGAAATCTCAAGAAATAGAATGGTGCATCAAGGGTGTGAGAATCAGTTTGGTAAAGAACTCATTGATCCTTCGATAGCTAGCGCCTTACTATCTTTTGCTGTTCTTTTTGAGTTGAGGTGCGGAGCATTTGATTTCTTGAGGTACTTTTTTGGCAAAGTCTCAATTACTTCGATCAAAACAAAGGCAATCTGACTCGTTCGTGACCCAGCTTACCATTGATGAGTCACTGAACTCAACCTTGAAAGCACCAAGGGGCGAAGCAATAGAGATGTCTCCTACGTTACCCGTAATATGTGGAAGTATCGACGTAATTTCATAGAGTCATCCGGTCTGAATGCTACATGAAGAACATAAGCCAGATGACAGAACGGGGAGATCGAGGATGTAGAAGATCATAACATGAGTGATTGATTTGGATTCCTACAGACCCTACTCCAACTTACCATATGCGTCTTATCCCGCTCCCCAGAAGACCAAAGAAAATGAGGCTTCAGACCTTCCATCTTCACAGATTGAGGGATCTTGAAACAGCTACAAACATGATTAGATATGGCCGTAGTCACTGATTTGATAAGTGTCAGTCTTCCAGCGAAAGTCAGAGTCCGACTTTTCCAGCTCTGAAGACGGTCTCTCATTCTGTCTACGAGGTTGGAGAATTGAACGAAAATCAACAATATCAATAGTAGGAAGGCCCGACGGATATCTTTGCATTGAGCCAGAGCCCTGGATTCCAAATATAAATATTTGAGCAAGAGCATGCCTAACATGTGGATCCATGGACCGCGAGAAATGAATCATTGATTTTTGGGGGTTGACTCTGAGACCCGATGGCAAACAGTTCCAAAACATTTGTCATTGCTCTACATGACTTCATGTTAGCTTTCGCTAAGATGATCGTATCGTCTGTGATCCTTTATCTATTCTATAACACGCTTCTATTTTGAACCTGCCAATTCAGAGCTGCTGAGATAATCTTCATGCATAGGATAGGGAGAACCCTTGACGGATGCCACGGGTCGGCCTAAATTTTTTTAAGTAACACAAGCCTCGAGAGGATCAAACAGAAAACAGCGCCATGTTAATGCGATCGCAAGACATAGAAGCTGCGATCACAACATTAACAAAAAGAGGGTCTTTCATCACTTTTCTCATATTTCGCTGGGACTAGTTAAATAAAAGTGGAGATTGAACGCTAGAGGGCGCAGATCGGAACTGCGAGCACTGAGCAAAAGGCGAGCGAGCTGTGTTCACTTAAAGCTTCACTTCAGGTTTTGTTTTGTAGTGGGAAATGCTACAAGGAAAGATATTTGAAGACGTAGAGCAGTCTGTAATGATAGCGGGATGGGGACGGAAAGGGTTCCCCCTCTCCTGTAATAGCGAACCAGTCAATTTGGAATTTGAGAGTCAACCTTCGCCCCAAAAACCCATCTTTCTTGCTCATCTCTAGAGAAACCTCCAACTCCTGCTGATCCCCCGGATTGCCTTTAGCATTGCCATCAGTGTGTTTAGTTTTCGTTTGCAGGAGAATTTCTTATCATTTCTTTACTGCTACGCACCTTATGTATCCAAAGCCTGCTTCTCTGCATAATCCCAATTTCTTCTGGATGAGTAGTATGGCCTTCAATACATTCTTTCTTTCTGTATATATGTGCAAAAAATGCAAGGATCTAGTGCCTTTCAGCACTGGTTTTTTTATAGTTGTGAGGTGTTTGGTAATCGAATTCTAATAAAAATGAATTGAGTGGGAAGTCTGTGTCTTTTTCGATAGGCTTTGTTTTAAGCCATACAAGCTTCTCTTCTACTCTATGTTCCAAGGTTGCCTGGAGGGAAAAGACAATATGTTTGCAGGAAGGAGTTTGGACTTGGAAATATGTCACTTATTTTCCCTTGATGCGCTTTCAATTCCAGTTCTGATTCTTTCATTGTACATTGTACGATTACATAGAGAAAAAGAAAATGTTGACGAACCTTGGAGTTCACTATTCTAGAGTGGAGGAGTGGAGGTCTAAGGACCACAGATGTGATGTGTGTACCCAATATATGAATACATCTTATGAATGCCCACCCAAAAGGAGCTCTAATGCCACTCGCTTGAAAGCTAGACTCTGCCTTACAAGTTCGTTATCCTACAATTCTCTTATTCTCTGCCACCATCATGTTGTAGGTGCTTTGAGATGAAAAATGACCAGAACGCCATTTATTTCATTTCCTTTTTTAGGACTTAATTCCCTTACTGCGACAGATGCGAAGCAAGTTGAATTAGAGTGGCTCTTCTTGCGGTTGGATGCTTTCAAATTTGACAATCGGTGCTTTGTCCAGGATGTACTATTAGGTTTCCTTTCTCACCCTCTTATATAGCACTAGCCAGATACTTTCCCAAGTTTTTCAAAATTTGAATAGAAAATGAATAGAAAAAATATTGCTCATGGACCTTCTAATATTAGAATTATAATAGTTTCTCTTTTTGGGAACATTAGCAGAGAAGTCAATCTTTTTTCTTTTCCAAAGTCGTTCCCTGTTGGCCTGACCATGTTGAAAAAGCTTTTCAACACTCCAAAAAACCTTCTCTTTTTCAAAATTAGCTTATGCAGAAAGAACAAAGTCATCAGCAAAAAAATCTACCAGAAAGAACCAGGTCACTCTGACTTGAAAGGTTTCCAATTCAAAAACTTTGATTGATCAATCGATCTCCACGTCCTGCCAGTTCGCTAAGTATACTCACTCTACCGAGTGGCAAGGCTTCCACTATTCCTGCCAAAATTTCATCCTAGAAGTTTGCAAGTATGAGAGAGTCCTCTCTCTGTCTGTCTCTCCGAGTTTCTACTACTAAGACTAAGGGAAGTAGCACTTCAGCTATGAAATGAGAGAATAGATTCCGATCAACAGGAGAAGGTGGTCCTTTCCTCTCTCTGCCAGCTCCATGCTGTATAGCTTAAGGATCATGAGCTGGTTTCATGCTAGAATACATTAGATCTGCCCAATCATTTTGGTAGATGAAGTAGTGGGAGGTCGCGAAGTAAGGGGGCGTGTGAAGTTGAGAATTTAGGACAATGTAGTATTCTTTTCACGGCTGAGTTTTGAGTTTCGAAGTTTCAAAAACTTTGCCAGAACTCTAAATATGAAAATACAAAAAAGAAAAGCATCGAGCGAGACCATTTTATTCCATTGTTCATGAGAGCCGTTTTGTTTTCGACCAACAACATCTACTCCTATCCAGCTTCGTGTCATTTTTTCATACAGCGATCAGCAAGCAGCAAGTGGGGGAGAGTCAAGTCAAGTACAACACAGGCAAGACTCTCATGTTGCGGTGGGGCGTGCCAAAGCAACCCGGGACCCGGGCTCACTACTAAAGTGCTGACGCCTTCTTTTTAATTGAAGGTGAAAAACTACAGGGCTCAGCAAGAAAACGGATGCGCTACGGCTTTAGCCGTTGCTTATTCTTTTTCTTTATTTTCTACGCAACCTTGCGCGAGTACATTGTTCGTCCTTGGGCGCTCTCTAAACTACAGCTTTGATGCTGGAGTTCGCTGGGTGGGGGAGAAGCAAGCCGAACCTCTGATCGACCCGGACACATAAAAAATGATCGGCTAAGAGAGAAAGATGAGATTCCGTAAGTAATTCAGTGAGTGCTTTCTTTTTTTAGCTTCAGGGCTTGGAAGAAGAAATGAAATACGAACAACCGCGCTGGTCATAATAGATCGACTTGAATGCTGGAGAAAGAAGACGCATTCAAGTTCCATTTCAGGGAAGGATGACGTATCATGATACTTTCTATTTCATAGAGCCCTTCTTTGGTCTCTGGTTTGATGGTTGTACGTGCTAAAAATTTGGTATATTCCGTTTCATTTCCCATCCCAGTCTTTCGCGACACTGCTGGTTTACTTCTTTTCTTAGGTCTCGACTTCTCCGCTATGATCTCCCCAGTAGTTCATATAGGAGCTATTGCCGTTTCATTCCTATTCGTGGTTATGATGTTCAATATTCAAATAGCGGAGATTCACGAAGAAGTCTTGCGCTATTTACCAGTGAGTGGTATTATTGGACTGATCTTTTGGTGGGAAATGTTATGCCCACGCTAGCAGCTTCCTTGATGGAACTGAGGCTGCCCTTCCAGAGAAAGTGAAAGTTGAACGATCCACAGCAGGAGAATATGGATCTACTGTTATCTCTTTTGTTCCTAATCCGACGTATGAAGCATTGTTACGGAAGGATCAAATGGTTGTGTTGTGGCTAAATACCACCCTTTCCGAATATATTCTTGCCAACACCATCTCCCTTCAGCCCATGCCATATGAACATATCTTAGGAATGACTTTTTGGGAGAAGTGGAGCAACAACTCAAAGTCGAATTACTTATGTGCAAGAGAGGTACATCTTCCATAACCTAATACTAATTCGTTTCAAAGCTATTTGTGAGTTGTTGGCTGCTATTCATAAATCTGTTTCAGATGATGATAAAGTAATGTATATCTTGGACGGGCTGGGTATGGTCTTTGTCACTTCGGTGTCTATGAGGGTTCCCTTTCCCCACTTCAGTGGGTGCCCATTACAAGCCTATGCCCGCCTCCTCCACTCCTCTGGCTACTGATTATGCGTTAGTCAGTCAGGTTCAGCAAACCACATCTGATTTCTAATCGAGGACGGGGCGGGTTTTCACTTTCCACTTGATATTTTTAGGGTTGGCTCAATCTCTCTTCCTTCAGTTTTTGTTTTTCTAGCGCCTTTTTTCAGAGACTCCGGACGCTCCTTGTCCTAAGTCTCAGGCATCCGGTTACCTTTGCGGATCTCCTAGCCGGCTTTTGCACTATGTTACTGACGTCTGATTCTCTTACGCAATTCCTTACTAGTCGTAGGTTAGCCTAAGCCTAAGCATCGGAATCAGAGGTTTCGCGGGGCTGCTAGGCTCCTTTATCATGGTCATGGGAGGGGTTCGCATCCAACTCTTCTCGATACCCGGTCATTGGGAACATCTTCTAACTCGTTAAGCTAAAATAGCATATATTCTATCAAATAGGATCCTACTTACAAGTTCTTAGCCCCCTACTGACTACCGGGGCATCCTCTAATGAGCAAGCACTAGTACACACGCATTTGCCCGTTAGCAACTGTGACTGGAGGAAGACGGCTACTGGCACAAAGGTTGATGAAGCGCACGTGCAACACTATCGGCGGATTCATTATGGAATGGAGATTTGACACACCAGGTTTGATATGGGATGTCCTTTTCCAACTGAGTCATTGAGGAAAGTCGACTTGCTTCACCTATGATAAAGGAGAATCGAGATTCGAAGCTCTGCCGCTACGCTAGCGCGGATACAGATGCCTGCCTTCGCTTCGTTCTATTTCTCCTATACTGACTTTGGGAAGTATCTCGATGCACTTCCTTCTGATCTGCTTTTTATAGAGTCTCAGGTCAACCAGCGCCCATGCTAAAGACGCGAAAAAGCAATTGGCGCTTATCGAACATCTTCTTTGCTACGCACCTTACTTAGCCACAGGGGGTACATTCTGAGGTACCCTAGACGACTGGATTTAGCTAAGCTAAAATCGCGCAATGACTCTCATTATGGTTCTTGGTGATTCCTCCCTACTGAGAAAGGGAAGTGAACTATTGCTGGTGTTTCCAAAAGGGAGGATTGGTAGGGCTATCGCCCGATTCTCTTGTCTAAGATGCCTAAGGGCTTTGGTTTGGTGTATGTATATTATTTCTGTCCTAACAATGAGATAGGGGTCTACTTTCTCGCCAACATACGCATTCGAGCATTGTCCAATAATAGCTGGCGCAGGGGGGAATACTATAAGGCATAGGCTCAAGGGCTACTATCGCTCGGGAAGACTTTTTTCATACATACTACGCGCTCGGAACATAATCATAATATAGGGGCCTCCTCTCGGGCACAGGCTTGGAGGATTAGCTTTAAACACCCAACTCAAAACAGCAGCACATTACTCAATACAACGGAAGCTACCTTTCAGGGCGAATTCCTTTCATGATCTAAGGGAAGACGCAAGAGCAGATCCCTATCTTCAATCGGAAGCAAAAGAACAATACTAATGGGGTCAACCTTGGGAAGAACCCGAGAAAGCCTAGAAACCCGGTAAAACAACGAAAAAGATGGTCGATTGAATGCGCACTTTTCCGGTTTTCTTGCGTAGCACCTTGTTTCAGGCAATTCATTAACAGCTACTTCTTCATTGACGAAGTCTCGGGTCGCACCTGGGGCTGGTCTTGGCGTATCCGAGGCTAGACAGATTGGAATTCTTCTATCTGGAATGGAACTAGCGCCTTTCACTTGTCTAAGTGAAACTAGCGCCTTGCTTTACCCCGAGGATCCCTCAAAACTCAATGCTTCATCAATACGTGAGGTAGCCTATATAAAGAAAGTACCGGTACACCGCATCCATCCCTAGGGAGAAGACCTTTTTCTTTCACCTTTTGTCTTTTTTTGAAATCCCTTAAATAGCCTTGGCCGAAATAGTCGGTAGCGGCCCAATAAAGACTGATGCCCCGCTGACGACGGTGGCGGGAAGGCTACCCAATGATCTCCATCCCTGGTGTGGCCGTACCAACTTCCTTTTCTTCTGTCTGACCAGAAGAGCTTTCTTTCGAGACCTCCCATTCTTATTCATCATACGACACGAGAAAGAAAAAACGAATATATCAAGTATAGTGAAAAGCATAATCTAACTTAGATGGGAATCCGAAGACAAATAGAACGCGGATTGGGCTAAGAGAAGGGGATTAGTCTTTCTGCCATCAATTACAGGCAAAGCACTTTGTGAGCATATATATCCCCCTCGGGCAAGGGGCGGATACCTAGTCTTGTCAGAGAATCAAGTAAGCACACACTTGGTTAGAGAACGGCTCCTAAGGAAGGCTGCCATCCGATGGGTACACTCTCGACAGGTGTGTCTGGTCTAGTGACTTACAATGCTGCTTGGAAAACATCAAAAGGAATGAAGCCAATTATAAGAGCTAAACCAATAACCATGGACTCATCAGACTCTGCAACAACCACTACAAGAAGAGTCTATCAGTTTTGCTACTGAGGCTGATTCATCACCGAAGCCATTTTGCCACCAAAGATGGGTTGCCATCGATGATCTATGAGGCTGACTGTTGGCCACCAAGAATCAAGACAGCACTCTGACGGCCATCGCATAGCTAACACACTAAGTTCTTAGAGGTAATAGCTAACACCTCCAACGGGTCTAAGAAGACCTGCTTCCAAATTTCTCTAGCTCTCTCTTTATCATCATCCAAAAGAAATTAAACAAACAAAAGTATCTCTAGCATCTCATCGGCTATGATACCAAATGACACAGGATCAAAAAGCTTGACAACTCTTCATCGACGATCCGATGACTGTCATCGGACACCACTTAGACCAAAAAGCTCGAGGATTCCTCATTAATGATATGGTGATTTTTATCGAACACCACTCCAAGAACTCCATCTAGGAGAAAGAACCCACCACCTAAGAACAAATCTTAGGATACAGAAATTCAGAATAGAAGAAAACTCTAATTTTATTAATCTCCAAATCTCCCTCTACTAAACATAATCCCAAGATGTATATACAAGCATATGGCTATAGTTACAACTACATGGTTGTAATACCAAGTTTCTAAAACTATAACAAAACATGCAGGACAAATTAAAGCCAAAAAATAGGGAAAATAACAAAACTACGCCTTAGCTCTTGTGTCAAATTGGAATGAAAATTATCAATTAACAATAATGGTAGTGTTATCACTCATATCATGAATCAACTGATGATGTTATGAAAGAGTTGCATTGAACACATAGATTTGTTTAGAAGTAGAAATAAGATACATAACACAATTACATGCATGAAGAATGCAACATATCCATAAGGAAAGGAAAAGGGTATCATGAAATATATTCTTCCTACTATCAACAACAGTCGATAGGTACACAAGTGGACTAATTTGATGCCACTTTGCTACTTACAAGCACACGAAGCTTCTACAAATGGTGATAGTAAGCATGCAATTGTTGCAAAGAGACCCTCACAGTAAACATCATTCAAATATCCAACAGTTACATAAGTATATTGTACTTATAAGGAATGAAAACACCGATAAGTGGAAATAAAAATAAATGATTTGCAGAAGCTTGGTGTAAACTGTTGATCCTAATGCTCTAAATAATGAGACATTTATTCATAAATTGATTGTCCCTACATTCACATATTTAATATAAATTATCTTATATGTAATCAAATGATCCAAATTGGCACTCCTGATACTATAAAACCAATGGGTTATAATCTATGCCAACAATTTGGCCACCTTATACATGCCATATCATGACATATTTCATATATAGATATAGGTCTTAGCCACCTAAAAGTTTTTAGCTAGTTTTTAAATGTTCTAAAGATTATTAAAATGTTAAAAAGTAATGTTAAGTCCTAAGGCTTAACTTCTTAGTGATTGTTATTCAAAATTTTAAATTATTAGCTTTAAATGATGTTTGGCTTAGCCATTAAGTCTCTTTTTACCCATTTCATTGACATTGACCTATATTCTTATCAAGTGGATCCAAATTTGTCTAACAATCTCTGATTAGCTTGGTTCAAGATAATCCAAAAACAAGCTTGATAGTTTGCCTTTGATAACATCATAAAATATTTTAGTTATTTAATGTGTTTATTACGAGGCTCTAATATTCCCTCTCTATGGTCTTAAGTTAACCAGAGACATTCTCATATGATAGTTAAAGCGATCCTTAATTACCTTGCACGACACTTATTATCCCATGAGGATATCAAATCGTCGCCATTAGAATTTAAATTAATAGTGGAGTGCCCATAATTATCTCAAAATGTCCCTTAAAAATGACATGATCCAACATAGGGAAAATTACGCCCATAACCCATAAGTACTTTTTAACCTCTAATCATGAGACATCCAAGTCATAAAATATATAACAAATTGATTTAAATCATTATTATTTTAAATGAAAATAATCTCTAACTAATGAACTTGAATTCTATTCAATCAAACTTATAACTAGAACATTAGATATCTGATTAGATTTGACAGCATCACAAGTCTAGTGCACATGAGATATTATGATAAGTACATGCTTTGGTATTATAAGTTTTGGTGAAACTAGGTTTTTTTTTTTGTTTAAACCCATGGAGGGGCCTACGTGTTAATTTCAAAAATCGGTTACAAAGTCCTTAAAAGGATCCACCAGCTCGCTACTGTTCCAGAGGGCTACAATCAAAATTTAAATAAAAAAACCTAAGAGCCGGCAGTTCCTTATGCTATGATTACAAAAACAACAAGAATAAAGATACGGGCTGTGAGTAAACAGCACCCAAAAAAGAAAGATCCAATTTATCTCGTTCAGCTCAAACTTCCTGCAAAAAAATAGAAGAGAATAGGAAAAGAAATACGATAAGGAAAAGAAGAGAACCTTGCATTCGTTATAGCTCCCAAAAAAATAGGTGATGAGTACCCTAGAAGAGATTCTCCAAAAAGAAAGATTAATACGAAATAAGTTAACCCAATTAAAAGAGGCTTTCATAATCCTATTGTGGCACCTAATGCCAA